CATTCACTATGGTAAGATTTTTTGATCTGATGATGCCTTACACCTGATCCCTTCGACACCTCGTGGTTGCATAGGCTGGTGTGCTTCTTCCATGTTGGTTCATGCTTTTAAACACTGCAGCTATACCATGAAAATATCAAAACTCTACGAGGACTTCAAAAATCAGTAAGGATAAAACGTACTACAAACACATGTACAAGGAAGCTTCAAAAGTTCATGAAAAAATTCCCTTATTCTTGAATTCAATTTTTCCAAAAACTTTTTCAAGTCCCTCCATATAAAACTAAACACTAAACAAATGTGTAAAACACATTTCCTCCCTCCCACCCTCCCATCCCATATACTTGTCTGACTGAGTCGTCTTAAAAGATAAGTAAATGAAATTCAGACTAAAGATATCATCTCCTTTTTATGGTAAATCTTCTTGTGAGAAATATTCTTCACTATTCTAAAACAATTTAATGCTCAAAATTAAAATGATCTATTAATGTTAAACCATTAAGGCTGTTTTGTGGGAACTTCCTTTTCTCCTACGAGTCATTTGGTTTCCATCTGAAACTGCTAGGGCAACACAATCTCAGTAGATATTTCAATGTTGGTCAAAATAATTAACAATTGCCAAAAGGAAATTTGATAGTTACTGGTGGAGTGGAGCAATTTGTTCATAATTCTTCTTCATATATTTAGAAATGTAGTTATAAGTTATACTTAGAAACCACATAAAATAAATCGAAGTCCTTTAAAATTTTCTTTAAAAGAAAACTAAACTCCAAGCCTACATACCTTCAGTTGTAAATTCTTTCATTTAAGCAATAAAATATACAATGACCAAAAAGTAGAGAACTTGCCAACTCATTTTAGAAGTTCAGGTAAACATTAATGCCCAAACTTGACAAAGCCATAGGTAAAAAAATAACAAGTCAATCTCTCTCTTCAACTAAGGTGAAACATCTTAAACAAGATATTAGCAAATTTATACTGTGGTTTATAAAAAGAAACATACTGTATAACCAAGTGGGGTCTATACCATAAATGCAAAGTTGGGTTTGTGTTGAAGAGACCCCATGTAACAAAGCAGAAATCTCCAAGATTTTCTTAGTTGTCTTCTTAGAGAATCCCCCAAGGCTTTCTCTGTGGAATGGCTAACTGGGTTCCAGTTGCCAACCTTTCAGTGAAATGTTGTGTATGGCTCCTTGCAAGGTTGGTTTAAGTGTCATAAAAATCTATCAAGATTATATACTGTATATCCTCGTATATAAGCCGAACCTTTCAGCACATTTTTAATGATTTTTTGTGGTAAAATTACGTGCCTCAGCTGATATTCGGGTCATCTTATACTCTGGTATATACGGTATTATATTAACACAATAAATAAAGTCATAATATAGAACAGACAAATACAGGGCTGAAGGGAGTTAGGCTAGAATGTTGAATGCTTACAGGAAGGCTGAGTTTCTGCTTGGGGTGATGAAGCCTTTTGGAACTAGTGGGGATGGTTGCATAAGATGACTGTCATTAATGTTACAGAATTGTATTTGTATACAGAATTTGCATTTGTAATTGTATTTTTCCAAAACATGTGGAATTGTAGAATGAAAAGATAATAGAACTTTCCTAAAGGCCCTGCTGTGCGTTAAAATGGCAGTTCGGCTACGTATATACATTTTACCACACTATATATTTTTAACGAGCCAGGTGGTAGATGAGAATAATTTCCTAAGTAGTCACAGAACATGTGTTTCAAAAATACATGAACCTAATGAATTCAGAAAAACTTTTTCCTCGGAAGCATATGAATCGTGCAATTTAGATCTACGATTCCAGGGTTTGCGTCTAGGAAACTAACTAACTAACCCATGCTGAGAAATTACTATTGGGAGTAATTTCAGCAAGTGTTGAGAAGGACGTTTCTCGACATGGCTAAACCAGGGATAGGGGGCCCTTG